CTTCTCCCCGCCTTCAAGAAGAAGAAACTGGTGGTTTAGATAAACACTAGAACAAAACTGTTGCTTCCCTGGCCTTTAATCAGCCTGTCCTTGGGCACTCCTCCTATCCCACCGCTATGGTGCTCCATGGTAAAGACCAGTATTGGCTTCTGAGTGGAGGTTTCAATGAAAAAAAAAAAAAAAAAAGACTCAGAATTCTTGTCTTCAGGAAATGTGTAACACGACATTTTTTGTTTTACCAGCTTGGTTTCATGCTAAAATATTTTTAGCAATCAGAAACGTGGTAGGTAAACACACTAGCCCTCAAACTGGCCTGAGAATGGCTGATCAAAACTTGTGTTTCTCCTGGGAAAAGTCTGCTAGTTTGTTGAACGAGTATAATATATATATATTTACCTAGAATTGCCACTGTTTATTCACTGGTGAAGATAACACACATCCTTTTCATTCAGAGAGCTTTTTAACCTTCGACTTAAAGTGTGCTCTAAGTTCTGACCTCTGCAGAGAGAGACAATGACAAAGAATTAACGACAGTTAAGAAAAAAACATAAGGCCAGTGGTCCCATAATCTCCTCAGAAACTTCTTAGAAAAGATGACACATGGTTCTGAGCAGCTGCAGGCAGGCAGGCACAGCCAGCCACTAACAACCCATCAAAATACAATGTGTTGACTTCATAGCTGCCACTGCTTACTTCCCCCAAATGCAAATCTCCTTTAATGAGAAATGCACGCAAGGCAGATGCTTTTATACAAGGAAACAAAGTGTTAAAATGAACCAAGGTGTTATGTAGAAATAAATGTTTTTAGAATTGGTCCCTTTTCTGGTCTTTTTTGCCATTCAATGTGTGTTAACCAAGTGAAATTAGGTCTTTTTTCATGGCATTAATTCTATCTTTAAAAGTACAGGATGTCATTTTTCCTCTTATCTAAAAATTACATCTAAAATTACTGTGATTGAAAGTGATGGGATGGAGTGTGGGCGGTGGTGTTTTCAGTACAATGTCTAACAATGTTTTGTACAGTTTGCTGCTTTTGTGACTCTTTTATACAGCAAAGGCAAAATAATACTTGAAAGTAGAAGAGCGGAACTATACATACATAAAAACTGGGAGAGGAAGTACCACACAGATGCAATATCTCCATCCACCTCTAATAACAAATATAAGCTGTTTGTGCCTCTTAAGCAGCAGGAGCTCATCCCTTCAAGGCCTCAAGGGAAAACACTTTAATACAATATGGTGATTAAAAATTATTAGAAATAGTATTCACTTATTTTGTCAAATTTCATTAAGATATTTATTCCTATAACTTAATTATTTGGAGAGATTTAATTTCCCATTTTCATACTATCAACAAAATGTAGTCATCTACAGCATCTGTTCACTCTTTTCCTGAAATATATCACAGAAACAGAACATGATCTTTACTTAAACGTTTAGACCTAGCAGCTAAGGAATGAAATGTCTATTACTTTCTGTCTAAGGAATTGAATGCCTCGGATTCTATTGAACTTTACCCCACTGTTGTTTCACCTTTATGAATAGAGAATAACGATGCTACTATCAGATCATGACGTAAAGTCAAAGTAAAATGTTATCATGTCAACACTCCTCTCATTTATAAATAATTACATGTGTGTTTCTCATATGGGACATTCATCAATGTAGGCAGGTTAAGACCTACCTTACAGTAGGTTAATCAGAATTGTTCATCTGGTTTCCTCTCAGGCTTTTGCAGTAGAACTATTTACTATAAATTACTTCTTTGGTACTTTAAATAAGTGTACCACAAAGCAAATGTGACAGATTAAAATATGGGGCCATTGTTTCAGCATGAAATAAAGGCTAAGTTTCATTGAATTTAAGTTTTCCAAAGAAATATGTCCTACATTATGTTGATTAATTTTGATTAGTAATGTAAAATTACATATTATTTCAGCTCAGGATGTTTGATGCAAACAATGATGGGAAATTGGAGCTTACTGAACTGGCCAGGTATGTCTTCTGTCTCTTTTTACAACAAATATCATGCACCAATCACCGTTACGGAAACAGTTAAATATTTTGACCTTTGCTTTTTTCTCTCCAAAGACTACTGCCTGTACAGGAAAACTTTCTTATTAAATTTCAGGTATGAATATTCACATTCTTGAAATAACATATTACCATCACACATAACTGGTGTCACTAATGGATGTTTTCCTTTTGGCATTTAGGGTGTCAAAATGTGTGCAAAAGAATTCAATAAAGCCTTTGAGATGTATGATCAAGTAAGTCTTCAAAAAACCCTTTTATTAATTGCACAGTTCGATGGCACTTATTTTTGAATTTGTGGAAAACTAGCTATAACATCTGAAACAAAAATGAATATTTAAAATTATCTTTAATGTTATTTTTCAGGATGGCAATGGCTATATAGATGAAAATGAACTTGATGCATTACTGAAGGATCTCTGCGAAAAGAACAAAAAGGTAATCCTAGAGGGCTTTTTTTCCCTTTAGAGATTAGATTTAGTTTGGATTTTAAGGACTCTTTAATCCATCCAATTAAGATAAACAGAGAGCTTCTAAGTCATAATTCCAGAAGTCAAAGTACAACTAAAAATCTTGGCAGAAGTCATAGCAGTGTAAATCCTGAACTAGGAGAGCTGTGATCACATAGCGACACTGTCAAAAGCTTGCTTCTGGGACATCAGCTATCAGAAATCTAACACACGGCTACAATATGAGTAACATACAAATACTGTGGACAGGCTGAGAACATCCTGTTTTGTTTTCTTATTTTCTGCCTTTGGAAGCAAACTTACTCGTGTTGGTAACTAAACAGAATTATAAAGCATTATCTGTTCTTTAAATAGGAATTAGACATTAACAACCTTGCGACATACAAGAAAAGCATCATGGCCTTGTCTGATGGAGGAAAGCTTTACCGAGCAGAACTGGCTCTTATTCTCTGTGCTGAGGAGAACTAGAACTCTTATATCATGTCCACTTAACTAGTGATGTACTCTATCTACAAAATAACTGTGTACTATAAGGGAGTAGGCTGTATTTTTAAACTGCGTATAGAAAATTAGCCAGGATGTGTGGCACATTCCTTTAAGTTTGTTTCTATACTGTTTGTAATGTACAGTTTTTGTAACAATAAGATTGATAAAGAGAATGTCTATGTTTGGGCCAGTCTGTATATTCAAAAAGAAACTAAAATATGTCAGGGTTGGTTTTGGTTTTGGGTTGGTTTTTTTTTTTTGCTTTCATATACACAGCTGGAAAAAAAATTAAACCTGCTGACATTGCTGTGGTCATCATATCCTTTGACACTTGCAACATTTCTTGTTGAACTACATAACAAAAAGGTCTACATCTCTTTCCCCACTACAACTAAATGGGTTTTTTTAAATGCAAAATACGAATTCAGATTAAATATGGCCTAGGTCTGAAACAGGAAAGAGATGTTGGCATGTCTGATTTCCAAAATTTAACAAGGCACTAGGAAATATTTTCAGTTGTCAAACCACCCACTTACAGGTCTGTGCTCTCTGCAGTTTTTCAATTACTCTTCTCTTTAGAAACTCATAGCGTATAGACAAAGCATTTATCTGGGATAGATCTCCATGCAGTAGTTGACAAAAATATAGTGTTTTCAATCTGTTTAGCTGTTTAACTTTACTGGATTTAAACACAGGCACTTGAGAAATAAATGTCTTTGATCTGTCTTGAAATCCTGGCTAAATGACAGGTAGTATAGTTAATTCACAGATTAACATATGATATTATAAGTGTACCTTTCATGACTATTGCTGTGTCAGAGAATATGACAATCCATTTTCTAAACTATTTTCACATTTTGCAGGTTATAATTATCCTAGTAAATCGCTGTTTTTACATCATATTCTGTGTAATCTATAATTAAATTTAATATCCTAAGATTGTGGTGTCTAATTTGTCTATCTCCTGGATTATTTTTCCTGTAGCATGTAAAGGACAAAACAACTATTGAAAAAATATGTGCCCCCTTGGATCTTACACTGAACTACTAATGTATAATAATTGTATTAAAATTTAACACTAAACAAAGCAAAAGATGTAGTACAGATTTTACACCAATTTAGTAATTTCGTTTACATGCTGGGGTCTGCTTTTTATTATGCTAGGGAGGTATTTTTTAAATGGGAATTATACTGTGGAAACAGTCCTGTCTTCTTCTATCTTTGTAGTTTTTTGGCCTGACTCCCTTTTTACTTTGCATTGGTTTTATGCTGAGCAAATCCATGGATGTCCAGGCCATTGCTCCCAGTATGTACTGGTGTAGGAACGAAATTGGGCTGTGTCTTAAAGCCAATAAACCTATGTTACCTCCATGTACAACTGTTTCAGAAGCAATTCCGGGTTAGCAGATTAGCTAAATATACCCTCTCAGATGTATCCCTGTATCTTATTTACCGAGCAGGAGCAAATGCATTTTATTTGAAATGTGTCTCAAACAATGAGGCTCAGATCCTTCAAGATTACAGTCACTGAACTCCCACTGAAATGAATCCTTGAATTCCTCAGGTGAACTCAGGCAACTAAATACCATTTCAGGAATTGCCTAATGGCCTTGGGCTCTCTGCAGTCTGAGCCTTGGAAAGTTAAGGAGTAGGTGGTGCTGGATGGGGTCTTTCTGAAAAAAACAACCAACCAACCAAACAAAAAAACACCACAAAAAATTAAAGTAAGATTAAGCTATCTCATTCTTACCACTTTACTCCCACTCCATGCACAGTGATTTAACTTCTCACCTGCTTGTTTTCCTATTTTTTCTATGCAATGTGAAATACAATTGTGTGCGTTCAGTGAAGAAACAGTCAATCTGCCTATCAGTACAAATGATTGACATTGTTCATACTGTGCACTTGAAACCCTGGATTTTGCCTTATTTTAACGTTTTAAAAGTGTAAAGGTAGAGAAAAAACTCCAAAACTTGTATGTAAAAATACAATGTGACTGTTAGCTAAAATCATTACAGTAGAAGATAAAGTATTAAAAGTGTTTTGAGAAAAAGTCATCACAGAAACTGGAATCTTCCTGAACATGAGTGGTTACCTGTCACAGATCTGTTCTGAAGCCACCCTTCCAGTACTCCTGTGGCCCACCAGCTGTCAGTGCTGCAGCCGATAGAGAAAGCAGGTCTCAGTCACCCACAGGCAGAATGTTCCTGCGGCTATTTCTGATAAATAAAACTAGGATTAAAAGACAGCAATTTAAAAACCAAATTCTAGCAAAGGTGTCTTCTATGTCAATGCAAGGCAAAGTGTAGCAAATATGGGTAAGACAAAACTGCTGTAAAAACTCCAGGTTTTAAAATCTCTAAAACACTCCTGAGCAGAGCTGTTAAAAATGTCAGGGTTGGGGCAGAATGAGACTTGGAATAATAAAGAGAAGTGATGACAGGTAAGATGGCAAGCTTCTTTTTTCTGGTAGACATCTGGTGACCAAAAAAAAAGTTTGAAAGTAAAATTGTAGCACGCACAAAAATTAATTACATGAGACAGTGCATGTATGCCATATTCCTGCTAAACAGAGAAACTGACTGACACATAGCTACCTGGGATCCACTTTACTGAAGGTATTAACCATTTCACTGTCTAAAAATACCTATTTCATTAAAATAAATATTCAAATAAGCACTCAAGCTAATAAATACTGAAAACCACTGTCCTACAAATTACAAACAAGTATGCTGTGAAAAATTTTAGCCCATTCTAGTTTAAATGTATACAGATTAAAATTTAACACAGTGCATGGCATTCAAAACAAAGCAGCTGATTTTCTATTAATTTTAAAGCACAAACCAGCAACCTTTTACAAATATTGAAAGAAAAAAAAAAAAAAAGAACAGTAACTATTAGGCCCTTAAAAAACTTTTGGCATTATAAATGCAGCATCTGCTGACAGAAGTAAACCTTGACAGTACCAGGCCAGGCAGAGGGAGGGCCTGCTTTCCAGCTGTGCCCACAACACACTTCATCAGTGCACCTCAAGGGCCTCTCCTGACCCAAGCCAGTAACATCACCCAGCTGCCAGCTGTGATACAAACCACTGCCTATTATGGAGAATATCATGCCAGCATTCACTGATGATTTAGTCAGGATTGAACAGAGGCCTTGAAGTAAGCGATTAGCTTTCGTCCACTGCTGCACTGTTGTATCCCAAAGAGTTCATGCATGGTATCATAGCACTGGCCTAATCCCCCCTGTATACAACATAGCCGTGATTGAAAAGATGACCCACACAAGCTTATGACATTTCTGAACAGCATATTCCACATGCAAATGTCAAATACAGCTCAGGATGCTGAGACCTAGCAGCGCTTTTACATAAAATGAACCATTTTGTCTCACCACAAAATATGCACACGCTGCTGTTAAACTCGACTTAAACCAAGATTAAGTGTTCGTTTCATGAGACAATGCTAGCTTCTGAATAATTTCCATTTGACATCTTATACCATCATTTATACTAAGCCCTCATCATAACCATGGTTATAATCACTGGTTGTGGAGGCATACCGAAATCTGCATCTACTTGCTGTGTCTACTAGGAGGCTCAGACTTCATACTTAGACACCCAAATGCATGTGGCCTGATTTTCTGAAGTGCTGAGCACCTCCAAATCCCTCTGAAATAATCTGAAGTCATTCTACAGCAATTAAAAGCAGGCCAATGCACTGAAAACCCAAAGATCATTTTATTTTACTGCATGTGTGATGTGCGGAAAAGAATTTACAACCTGAAAGGTTATAAAGTAGGTATGTTTATTGCACGCAGATGCACGGAGGATCACTCCACCACAAACATGCATACCCACCGTGGCCGCTTGTCCAGTATTTATACAGTTAAAACATCACCTATTTTGAAATGCCTATACATATTCATGACCTATCCCCGAAAAGGCAGTTCCTTCCGGTCACTTCATTTCCATAATCTCCGCCTCCGCCTCCTGCTCACTGCGATCTCGCAGTTCCTCCTGGTGGTAGTGGGCAGGGGTCTTCAGGGATGAAGGCCATATGTCTTCCTCGCTGTGTACTCCTCACCTCTCCCCTGGAATCTCTAATTTAGCTGAACTTGCAGTACCAGACTGGTTTCAGCCTGGTCTGTCCTTGTGTGCACATCTGGCTGTCTCCTTTTTGTTCTTGTTTAGAGATGGATGTTAGCTAGCCCTCATCTCCTCCTGCCTTTGATGACTTTGAGCCATGAATTATGTCCTTGTTTCTGTCTTTTCTGTTTCCCTTATCAGCTTCTTTCTCAAGCAATTTGCAGGGGTTAGTGACTAATTGCTTCTTGCACGCATGTTAGTTCTGGGAAGTAAGTTTTAATAGTTTTAGCTTTTTCTATGTGGCTCCCTATTAATATTTCGATATATATTTGGTTATAAAATATATTTTCTATATGTCACCCTATCATATGAAATTATCACATAAAAGGCTGGGGTGTTTACCTCTGTTAAAGTGGGGTTACATGTTTAGCAGCTTCAACACAAGACGGAAGCAGTAAGACAAAGATACAAATTTCCTTGCAATTCAAGTGTCTTTACTCTGCATATTACCAGCATGTGAAAAAAAAGTAAAGATAAATGAGAAGCTCATGTGCCAATGAACTTGGAAGCCAGGATAGACAGGTAGGAACCCATAGTTCCCCCAAACAGAATCATCTTCTGCTTATAAAGCAGACTTTCAAATTGGTAAATAACAGCAATATTCTTAACAGTAACTGAAATATGCAAGAGGAGGGAATTCCCAGAAACAGGAGAACCAAAGATTGACAGCAGTTCTGGTACCATAGCAAAGAGGTAATACAACTAATCTCTTTCATTTGCAACCTCAAATGATTTTCATGACTTGTTTATAAGCCTCTCCTTTCATAGCACAGAATTCATCGAAGAAATTGTAACAGACAGATTCAAAGACAGTAAATCATCAGCTGAAATAAAATGGAAAATTTCAGAAAGATGTACTTTTCAGTTGAAGACAATGAATCCACTTTGAGTGTCTCTAAATTGAGTTCATGGAAATGACAGCACCTTTGATGGGTCATGCAAAAGTCATTTGAAAAAAGGTATTTGGATTCCAGGAAAGTTTTCCTTGTGATCCGTGAAAATTAAATTGCCTCTGCAGCCCTACTGACTCCTTTTGCAATCTCCAATGTATACCATCACCTTTTCTGGCCACTTTCTTGTCCCTCCAACTTCATCTCTGTAACATTATTATGCCACAAAGCAATAATTTTTTCATACTTTACCTTGTGGCTCACTGGCAATCTGAGGTAGTCAGGAATGTAACAATCTCAGGGCAAATATGTCAGCACAACACAATGTGGACGCTATCTCCTACCATTTCTGCTATGTTTGGAACAAGTAGCTACGATGACTATGCTTTATGTCTGTCGGTGGGAACTGTGCACAATACACAGCTGCGGAGCATGCTTATATTTGGCCCCTCTTGGGATTTAGGGATATTTTATGCCTCTTTCAGGACAGTCTCACCCTTGTGGGCACTTAGGAACAGGTTCTTTTGGAATTTCCAAGCCAAGCCAGATACCACCTGGGTTAGGTAGTCACTATAAAGCTACTTTCTCTTGTTCTTTTCCTGAGTTCAGATGTCACACGTTGCTATTTCAGTAACAAACAATTAAATTGTATTTAGGTAAAAATAAACTTGAGATATTCAAGACTCATCTTTTCATAGTAATGTTCCACTCCTGTCCCTAACAGCTCTTTTAATGAAGGAAATTAATCCAAGCAAGACTATTCCATTCTCCTGCAGAAGTGGACAGCTAGATCAGAGTTAAGTTTTTTCACTTAACTTAGTCTATATATTAGAAAATATTTTATAACCTATTCAATAACAAATAATTCTTTAAAACATTATATGCAATTTCTAAAACCTGCATCAACACATCCTATACATCTTGTCAAGACAGAATGTTCAGAATCTAAAAGCAACTAACTTGCATAGTTTGAAATGGATGTCACTGATATATGCAAGATAAAACAGGCGGCTCTTCTTATTACAGATGCTCATTGAAATTTAAAATGTGCTTTCTGGTTCTATCACTGAACGACATATGCTTTAAAAATGTTTTGTTGTCATTTTATAATTAATAGTTCATTTAGCTACAGACAGTAAACCGGTAGAAGATACTTCAGGAACAATACCTGTTTCTGCAAGTGAAAATGTTCTGTTATTGAATAAATACCCAGTATCTATTTACACGACAGGCTTTAAGAGGTATCCCTTCAACATTCTGACCTTATCAAATAAAGCAAAAAACCTCAGCCTTAAAGGACATGTTCCAGTAACTCAGATAGTTCAGAAAAGTGCTTCAGTCCCTGAAAGGTTCACTATGAATTAAAGTGAGTTTCTCCTAGATGTAAAGTTGACCTGAATCTGTCTGACATGTAAAGCAATGAAAGAAAGTCAAAGATTATTTTTTTTTTTTTTTTAATTTTAGGTCAAGAAACAGTATTCAGTTTAAACTGCGAAAGCACTTGAAATTCTTTAAGGACTTTTGCATATGAACTCACTGCCTTTTGCTGTGGAAGAGAAACATTTCTGAACTGAGCTCCGAAAAGTTTACTTTCTAAACAAAGGACATACGTAGGCAAAGCAATATTATAGTGGTGCTTGAGCCAAAGAATAGTGGGTCTCTGTGTTTAAAGCCACATAATGGATTTCTGACATTTACTATGCCAGCAGGCATTACATCTAAGCACCACAGCACGTAGTGCGGAAATATCTGGAAAAAAATAATTGTAGCAGGGCTAGGCTTATCCCCTTTTTCTCACTTACCCTTCCTTTTCCATCTCTACCCCACCAAAAAAATGCCTCTGCTTTCAAAAAACACATTAAATAGTCCACAGGATTATAAAAAAAGGTATGCAAGATTAAAAAAAAAAAACATTGTTACTATTATTTTATATGCAGGGAAGAGAGATGGATTAAGAATGTGTGACAGCCAGCAGTGCTTCCTAAGCCCTAAAGCCAAGTATAAACTTGATCCTAACTTCATGTTGAGACTGTGAATGTGCCTCTTTTCTTGATCTTTTCCACCTGTACCCCAGCCAGGACCTATGTTTTGTGAGCTAAAAGGAATGTGCCAGTCTCCCTGCTTCAGACAGCCAGTTCCCGAGGGAGTACTGAAAATTTTACCTACTCTGCTGTTCAGATGCAACGGAAATAATTTAAGGTCACACAAAGTCTGTGACAAGGTTGGAGAGCAAACATGGTTATCTTCAATATCAGACCAGTACTTCAACCACATGACAAACTTACCTATCGTAGAAGTCCCACATACCCATGGATGCAAGAGACCAGTGGGAACTTTTTATTGACAGCCTATGTCCAGAGGATACCCTACCAAATATTGCAGAAAATACTTGATCATACCACAGCTCGCAAACATACCTTTGAATTTCTTTTCTGAAACTTTTTTTTTTTCCAAGTGTCAAAGCCTTACATGCAACTGTGTCCTATACGAAGAGAAAATGCTAAGGATATTCAAAGGACAACAAGCAAAGAACAATATATATGGGCCTAACTTCTTGATGAAATCAATTCTGAGGGAAAAGACATGGATATCATGTCAGAATTTGATCTTGACAACAGACCTACCAAAACCCAGGATGCTATAAAAAAGCTTTACATTATGTTCAAGAGACGCCTTGAAGGCTGCTATGATAAATCCATTTGCTTTGTTTTATTATCAGTGGCACAGATGCTGTTCAATGCCACATCACTCTCAGGAGAAAGCTGGCACTAGCACAGCTCACCCTTTCAGCAGAACATATATTAGCTTGCTTCAGCTTTGTATTAAAGGCAACCAAATGATTTCAAAGTCAGATGCTGGCACATGTAAGTATGGCCTGAAACATGGGTGAAGTAACAAGATCGCTGCCAGCACTTGAAAGACAACACCCTTGAATTGCTTCTATATTCCTGCCTCTTGAATCACTATCAATTTCAAAGCACATACAGCTATGTCCATGCTTGTACATCTGGACAGTCTGGAGCCTGAGTTAAACAATTTTTTTAAAAAGGCACAGATTTCAGGCTGTAAAGGCCAGAACCTGTTAATTTCTTTACAGAAGTCCATCCATTATTTGAAGCAGGGGGGACAAACAACTGGCAACTCCCTAATCTGGAAAATGTAATAATACTAAAAGAGGGACAGCAATAAACATTTGTTTGTTTGGTTTGTTTTTGTTTTTTTTTTTAATCACCTGCTTAGCGGGACAGACAAACCAACTAGACACAGAGATAATGCCATTTTAAAGCTTCTTTAGTACCAGTCTGTGAATGCAAATGAAACTACAGAATTCTGTAAATCTCAACCAATGAGATTTCAACACTTTCAGTCACAATTTACTGATGTCCTTTACTAGTCTTAAGTACATCATTTTTTAAGGAGAGACTCCTCTCTTCACACCCACATTCTAATAGCAACTGATTTTAATTTCTCATTTTCAAGAACATTAACTTAATCATGACAAAGAGCAAGCTCCTTAGAAAGGCATTACTAGTCCTTAAATGCCATTTTTAAAGTTCAGCATAAAATAATTAACAGACTGAAAATGTCAGTAAAAGATGAGACCAAGATGGTTATGTATTTCAAGATTTTCTATGGAAACACGGGAGTTACATCCTATCTCAGTGTATGTAGTCCTGCTGGTAAGTCCTAAACTTGTAAATAACAAAGTTTCAAGTTATTACTGAAGTGTGAAGATTAGGACTTAATTTCTTAGTTTTTCCTCAGATTAACAATTATATTCAGTTATGATAGTCCTGAAATCTTATTGGAATGACAATATTAAGAGACATTTGCATGTATCTGAGAAACAAACAATCCTCTGAAATATATATAAAAAAGCTAATTGTAGACCACAGTTTGGCATAACCTAAAGAACAACAAAATTTCAGTGAACAGCTGTTGTTCACTATTGGCAGACTGGATTGTAAATGGGAAAAATATACATGCTATACTCAAAATACACAATTTAAAAATATTTTATTGAAATTAGCATACAAAAGATTTTGAAGACTATTTCTCAATTGATTATTTCTAAATATTCATGAAAAAGTAGATGATCTTTTCCAAAAATCTCCACCATACAGTTACGGACTTTAAGAGCCTTTTGTTTGTCTAATCATTGCTTCCATTATCTCCCACTGCTCTTTGGTAACCTAACAAAAGAAAAGAGTGGTTTATTGGAATACTGTATAATAATTATACATCTAAGTATCTCTTTGAACGTAAAATAGAATGTAAAGAATTTAATACCTTCTTCAAATGATTGAATTCTCCTGCCATAGACACAAATTCTCCACCATCCATTCTAATAACCTAGAAAAAAGCATAAGCAGTGTATTTAACAGTGTGTTTTCTGTAGCATTCCCTTGTTTATGAACTGTGAAAGTAATTGTTATTGATTTGGATCAGAAAAACCCATGCTCAAAGTAATGTAATTTAAGCACTTCTTTTAAAAGTTTTTAGAGATACTAACTAGCATGCATTAAAATTAAAAGGTTAATAATGCTTGTAAAGAATTTCAAAGTAACAGTTTTTGTTTCATTTCTGAAACTCTAAAAAGCATCAGCAAAACTCAGACCACCATCAGGTTAATTGTCTAAGCAAGATCTACCAAAACTCACTGCTCCATTAACCCAGCTTGCATAATCACTGCAGAAGTAAGCAGCAAGATTTGCAATTTCTTCTACAGTTCCCAGACGACCACAGGGAATCCTCTCAATCATCTCCTCCTCAAATGAGCCTGTTGGGTCAAGGCGGCTAAAAGCACCCTGAGAATTAAGAGAAACATTTTAAAAAAATTTAAAAATATTGTAACTACATCAGAAATAAAAATCCAACAGAGATTTGATTCCACATAAACAATATGGAAGTTAACATTCGTGAGTAAACTGTCTACACCCTCTTTGTCAGTAGGATGAAAAAGAAGAAAGCAGCAAACAGAAAACAATTTATCCCTGCTGCACTGATACACATCTACTGAGGATGATCAGCTGGAATTTAACATGTTTGAGATAGTTACTCACCATCTAGTTATGAAAACCAAAACGGGGTAATAATCTTTGTTTCCCAAACACACTTGATAAACATTTGAGGAAATAAGCAAGACTCAAAATTGCTGCATGCACAAGGGAGAGGAAAAAGGGGAGAAGAGGAGCAAGAATGAGACACAAATAAATTATGCATGACACAGGCTACATAAAACTGTAAACAAACAAAAAAGTTCAGTTAAGTTACAGCAATCACTAGAACTAAATTAAGTTACTGGAAGTTTTAGTATTTGAATAGCTTAGAATGGCATGGGAAATGGAAGAGGTTTTTTGTTCTTCCTGGCTCCTCCACAGGTAAACCACCTCCTCAGGCAAAATCAGGAATGTATTAGTAATATTTATGTTAAGTTACTGAAGTTATGAAAGTTAAAGCACACTGTAATTTATGTAATCATGGCTGTAGGCACGCCATTTAAGTCTTCTACTGCCATGTTTTTAAACGTCAGTTTACAAGCTTCACAGTACTGCACTTGTATGCTTTTTTCTTTTCCTACCATGACTTACAAAATTGTTTTTTAAAGACATGGATGTAGTCCCTAAGGCAGAAAGCCCTGATTTTGCAATATGCTGTTTTAAGTAAAGCCACCGTGCCTTTTTATGCTTTCAGGGAATCATAGAATCACAGAATCATTGTGGCTGGAAAAGACCTTTAAGATCATCAAGTCCAACCATTAACCTAACACTACCATGCCCACCACTAAACCATGTCCCTAAGCACCACATCTATACATCTTTTGAACACCTCCAGGATGGTGACTCCACCATCTCCCTGGGCAGCCTGTTCCAACATCCAACCACCCTTTCAGTAAATAAATTTTTCCTAATATCCAGTGTAAATCTCCCCTGGTGCAACTTGAGGCCATTGCCTCTTGTCTTGCCATTAGTTACCTGGGAGAAGAGACCAACACTGGCCTCACCACAACCTCCTTTCAGGCAGCTGTAGAGAGCAATAAGGTCTCCCCTCAGTCTCCTCCAGGCTAAACAACCCCAGTTCCCTCAGGCGCTCCTCACAAGACCTGTTCTCCAGACCCCTCACCATGTTTGTTGCCCTTCTCTGGACCCTCTCCAGCACCTCAATGTCTTTCTTGTAGTGAGGGGCCCAAAACTGCACACAGCACTCAAGGTGTGATCTCACCAGTGACGAGTACAGGGGCATGATCACTCCCCTACTCCTGCTGGCCACACTATTTCTGATGCAGGCCAGGACGCTGTTGGCCTTCTTGGCCACCTGGGCACACTGCTGGCTCATGCCCAGCTGGCTGTCAACCAGCACCCCCAGGTCCTTTTCTGTCGGGCAGCTTTCCAGCCACTCCTCCCCAAGCCTGTAGTGCTGCATGGGGTTGTTGTGACCCAAGTGCAGGACCTGGCACGTGGCCTTGTTAAACTTCATGCAATTGACCTCAGCCCATCAATCCAGTCTGTTCAAATCCCAAAAAATTTTAACTTGAAATTTTAACTTGAAACCAGTATGACAAATGTAGTATTTTAAGAACACACTATCTCAAGTGGGATATACGCTATTAGACCAAATCAGAAACATTAACGGTAGGAAGCAATACTGACACTTAAAGCAGCTAACCTCCCCAAAATTATGAGAATCCTGAAATCAAAGTGACCTTGCCATGTGATATAGTGGATGCCAAAATTGTATATGGATTCAAAAATGAACAGGAACTGGACAAACTAATGGAAGAAAAAAAATCATCTCGATGATTACAATATGAACATATCAACTGTATCAAAATCCCGTGGCCATAGACTGCTCAAGGCTGGAGACATAAAGAAGAAATGTCACTAAATGTTTTTCTTCTACTCTTGCCTAAAAATCCACTAGACACAACGCCTGGAAGACTTTTGGTCTGATCCTGTAACGTTGTTTCAACATTCTTATAACCCTGATGATACTGCCACTTGTCTTTCTTTACAGTCAAAAAAGGTAAAACTGAGCTCTCCAGTGTAGCATCTAATACTGGCAAGAGGAAGAAAAAAAAAAAAAACAAACAAACAACCCTGCATCCCTATCCCAAAACAACAGCAAAACCAACTGTGAAGTAGTAATACCATTATCAGCTGTTACTGCTTACAATTGTAATACTTTGATTATTGTGAAACGGATCCTCCTCTCCTCTTGCAGTACTGCTTTCTTTTTTCTTCCTGTTCCAGCTGGTCTGGATTGTTTCTTTCAAACCCTCCAGTCCTCCTTCTCACTCATGTCAAAGCTTCACATTTCCTTGCTGACTCAGTTTTTCTCTTTCTAGTTTTTGTGATTTTTGAGATTCTGTTCTCATATATGTAAAAAGAGATTCTGAAATTTTGGAACTGATGAGACATTTAGTTTAAAAATTATGAGTTCAGGCAGAGATAGGCACTTTTACACCACCAAGTGTAAGAATTCACTTGACAAACTAGGTATGTACAGTTGATAAGAATCAACATTAAATATTTTGAAACACTATAAAAAGTTTCATTTATATTAGTGTAGTAGAAGGGGCAGTGGCAGGTTTCAGAAGTTCAAGAAATCTTATTTTACATAAGAATTGAAAGGTAGTGTGTTCAATATTCCAGCACAGACTTGACTACCAAGGAAATCATACCTGAATTTTACAGTCACGGAAAAGGTTAGACCATCTTAAAGTTAAGTCTCTATTACAAAGCATATTCAAGGCTGTGTTTCACTTCATGCTATGTACCTTTGTTTTTATTGGACCTGGTTGAATCACATTGAATCTCATGCCATATTTACCCCATTCAGCCGCAAGAGACCTAAAAATTCATTAACAGAATGCATCAATATTTTAATAATGCTATTCAGAAAAAAAAAAAAAAAATGGATCAAATGAGTAAATACTAGAATTTTCCTAAAGCAGGCATTTCTACTTAAGGGCTTTTTTTGTTCTTAACAAAAACACTTCAGAGAACAACCAAAAAAAAAAAAAAAAATCACATTTACAAACAGAGGAATACTGATTCAATAGACATATCACAGAAGATAAAGCAACATTAAGGAGCAATTCTTCCTCCCTCACAAATCATTTTGGTACTTGAACTCCTTGACAAACAAGTGTTAGGCCACCACCTTCCCCCCATAATTTAGATTATCCCACAAGAATACATTTCTAATGCTTTCAGCATAGGTCTCACATTAGATGTTTTGAAATAACACAAAACAGATGTTATATTCTAAAAATGGGACCAGTTGCTTTAAGGCAACATTTTCTTTGCATAAGCAGTACTTCAGATAGATCATCTACTATGGTGAATGAATTATCTGGGTCACAAAGTCTCTGAAAAGTACATGCTTTAGTTACAGCTCTACAGAACAACCATCACTTATTCCCTCATTTTTTTCTAGATAAAGAATTCTAGTTACTAAAAGGCTGCCAAACTATTGAATCCCTTCTGCCTAAGTGCAGAGCAGGATCTATTTGCTATGAAGAACTGTCCTATAGTTAATTATGATTAAAATCCTTTTGTTTTTTGAGTAACACAGATACATCATATGATAGTGTACCGAATTAAGTGCAGACCTTATTTAAAACAGTGATAGGAAACACATTTCTTAATGAAACTAGATAGGTGAAGGAACAGTATACTCCACCCAAATACAAGCACATCTTTTCCCGAGACAAAATAAAGTGGAAGGCACTACAGATCTCGAACAGTTCCCCTAATAACTGCCTTTAAGTGCTGGTTCGCCTATGAGAATGCCAGAGAATCTCATTATTGAAACTCTGTTACTGAAACTTTAGACTTGCTATTGTCAAAAGAAGTAGTTCCACTTGTCCTTATCCCGTCCCTGTGATAAAAATCATCATCATCATAGCAGTTAATAGTTCCTTCTGTAAGAAGCTGTCAGCATATTATTTTCTTGCTAGGATACTGGAGGCTGGAAGGTTCTCTTACGATACAATGGAATAAGAGGACTATATCAACTAGCTCCACTTTTACAGACCAATTACCCTGTCTCAAGGATGGGAAAAACAGAACACACATTTTGCTGTATTACTCACTTGCTCATTGCTTCTACACCAGCTTTGGCAGCGGCGCTTGGCAACACAAATCCTGAACCACTCTCTGCATAAATTGTCGTAATAGCCAGGAACGCTGCTCCTGGAAGTTGCAAAAGCATTCAAAAAACACTCCACACCAAACAAACAAAAAATGCACAAAGATCAAACTCTGAACTTAAGGTAAAAGCAACCTCAGCAGTATAGAAGTTTGTAGCTCAAGTGTTAGAGATGCCATTTCACTCTGGGTTGTAAAAAGGTATTTTAAAAATCTACTCTTGGAAGCTTTGCTTTCAAGCCTTTTTATTTCAGTTCCCTCTTTTCCATGGATGTTAAAAGTTGTTCCATGTAAGTGTAAATAGCTATTGATTAGGCTCCAAAGGTCTAAACCCTCTGACTTCTACTGATAATGAATTTCCATGTGCAAATCAGTCTAACTGGAGTGAAGGCATAAGATCTCACAATGTCTTTTTAGAAGCTGCCCTATGCTAGCAGTCACTAACCAAGTAATTTGCCCTAATTTCACCAATTCCTGTTGGGGCGGGGTGGGGCAGGAAATCAGCATTAACAATTAGGTTTGGCATATCTTAAAATGACACAGTTTAGGGCTTGAGTTAAAGTTTATGGAGAAAAAAAAGTTTTAAAAAGAAATTTTCAGAAGCTTCTTCTGCAGTAGAACTCATGACAAAAGTTAACCTGCATAACTTTTTCACATTATTATCACAACAAACTGTATTATAAAAAACCCACTTTTTTTTCTATGTTATATTTTAAAACAAATTTAGCAAAGCATTATGGAAAATACTGCAAATGGCAACTCTTTATTTAATCTTTCTTTTATAAAAGCCTGAAAATTCTAATTGTCTGATCAATGACTAGCATGAACTTACTGTAACTGGGAAATGGAAGACAAGGGACAACTGTTCACTACTTACGCCACAGTAACCAAAATAGCTGTTCTACTTACTATATTTTAAAAATCATTTAACTAGAATAGCTACCCAAGGGAAATTTCTAAAATGATACATTACTGACAGAATGTATGTGACGACAAAGTAGCAACTCAGTTAAAAAATTACAGACATGTTACACAAGAGAAACTAAAGAGAACTATAAACAAGCACTGACAGAAATGCTAGCAGATATCCAGAAACCATAGACCCTATTTATAAAAAAGTAATCCACAGTGAGAGAGTTTGAAAAGAAAAATCTACATAGGCAAAAGACAGAGAACAAGTTATGTAGAGTTGACTGTTAACTATACATTTTGCAGAATTAAACCACAGAATTTTTAAAATACAGGTTAAACAGAGATGAGTTGGGCGAACCCAACATAGAAGCTCTGAAGTTTAAAGCATACTTTAGTTCACACAAATTTAATTTCTAAAGCCTATATTCATAAAAACGGACAATATCTAACCAGTTAACTCCTCTCATTTTGTAAAACTTTTGTGCATAAATAAATAACACACTAGCAGATTACAAACCCCTTTTAAATACCGGTACAAACTTAGTCTAAAAGCAGAGCACTTGTATTATTTACTAAATTAGGTTTAACGTAGGTCATGCTGCAGACCTAAAGGATGTGCCAGTGTTCTAGTAACTGTCAGAAGTATAGCATCCTCACAGACTGTTCCAAAATAGTTGCATTGGGTAGCACCTCTGTCACTTCAGAAACTAAGGTCTCTGCTCAAACTTAAAAAAACGAGAAAGTAAAAAGAAAATGAAGGTGGAGAATAAGAGGACAAACAGATACGCTTGACTTACTTGCAAAAATATGTCTTAAAGAAAGCCTTAAATAAAGTCTTACAGACAGAATCCCCGAGAAAGAAGGCATGCGAGTAATAGCAAAAGAAAATAATGTATTTTGGAAGTTTAGAAGTGAAAGGAAGAGAAACAACATGAAGGTGAACGACTTCTGGATTTTGCTGAATTTGAGGGTGGAAGCAAGACAAGTAGCTTTTCATTCAACAGCAGCAGAGACAAAGGCATTTTTAAAGCTATGTTTCACATTACTATAGGGAGACACTGCATGCATCTGGAAGGCCGTAAAGCAAACTATTAGAATAGTTTGCTATAATGATACAGTAAGTCAGAGTTGGGGATGGGTTTTCAATGTGGGAATATTAGCATTAGAATGGTGGAAATGATTTCTTCATGTGTTGCTAAAATATATGTGGGAAATATCTTGTCAACTGACTAAAACTGTTACAGACTTACTGAAACAACATTAACTTTATATTATTATAATTAAATAGTATAAACCCATTGAGTACTTTTTGGAGCGAGTTTTGAAGAAATTCAGCTAATCCAGGAGTTAAAGAAACACTGTGCAAATACAAAAGGATTATTTCAACACAGTGGCTGCACTTAGAAAACACAGTTCAGAAGTGAGGGCACGTGGAAAACCGTAATATACCTCACTGCTTTGAAATGCTATTTGAGATCGTATCATTCTGATCAAAAAATAAGGTCAATGTTTTTCAATTCATAACTAGAAGATAATGTAAAATGAAAGCAGTTCTTTGTATATAATCTACGATATAACATAGAAGGGCATACATTATCTTTCCCTTAAAGACAATAATCTGGATAAGTAAATCTTTGGCTAAATAGTATATCAAAGAACTACTGTATTTTTAAGATAGTAGCTAAAATACTGTATTAAATTCCTAGGTAGTCTAGAACTAAGAATTATACGTGGGAAAATAAAACTCAATACTGATTTCAATTTTGAAATTATTTTTCAAATTATCTCAAAGGTAATATTCCCTAATGCTATTAGTCAAATACGACAGCTGTAGATTTTATTTATTTAAGTGTAGGAGGAAAATCAAGATTGATAACCTGACTTGCTGTTCATTTAAATAAATGCCACATGTTCAGTCACTCAGTGAAACCAACATAGATAAAGAATACTCAAAAGAAATAACAGCATATGCTTTAAACAAAGCCTTATTTTTTTAAATTTTAAAAACATTTTACAGCTAGTACAAACTGCAATCAGATTTTTATATTCAACCTCATGGCCTCCAAGTCCAATTTTAAGGGCAGATTCTACAATTAAGTAATTGCTAGCAGTTCTACTGGGTGATACTTAAGTACGGCTTCACTAAAAATGAGGTTTCTTTCTAGAAACGATGTAAAATGTTAAAAAACTTGTTTCTTTTCAAACTTTCAAAACTGGCTATAATAAAAGTAAGCCAAGGAAAGCAAGTAATAATATTATGTCGCAATGCTTACATACCATTTATCTTAAGTTTAAGATACCTTTTTGTACTTTAATGAGCTCCTTTCCGATTTCGAGAGTTACAAAAGCAGTACCATTAAGCACAATATCAGTTATCACTTTCCATGCATTAGCAGAAAGTCGTTCAGAAGGCGCAATAAAGTTTCCAGCTGCGTTGTTTATCACAACCTGAAACACATGAAGGAAAACCTAAGAGTTAACTAATAACTCTTCCTGAGAGAAAAGCAAAGAATTTACAAGTAACTTATTGGTGTTTCCAGGCAGAAAAATTAAAATATCCTCATCAAATGAGGTACAGGGGTGGGAAGGAGGTGGCAGCAGAGAGAGACAGAAAAAGAGAAGATAATCCATCAGAAAGTTTAACATCGGCAGCACAGATATGTATCAGTAACAGCAAATGAGCTGTATTTCCAAACTGCTGTAGTTACTAGTCTAGCACTGAGGAACCGTAAATATAGAGGGTGACTTAAGCTGTTATTTTCCATAGGGTCTCAAGTGCATCCTAACAGAAACGTTTGTCCCCACCAAGGTCACATATCATATTTAACATAATGGATCCATGGGAATAAAAGCAAAAGAAGTTCAGGTAACCTGATGACCAAAGTCTGGATTAGGTGACTGTTGCATAACAGCAAGTCTAATCAGTCCTGACAAAGGAAGTATTATGGTTTAGTGAACTGCAAACAACTAGTTCAAAACTTTTTTTGAATAGATGTACTTCAGTCACTTGTTGGCTTTCTACAAACAATAATTAGGCAAAGCATACTTTCGATATATCATCTGCTTAGCCCTTCAAGCTAGAAAGTTAGATATATTTTCTTAAGGGGACTAAGCACCACGTAAACCGGTTTTAAACCAAAATTTATGTGGCTAGATCTTGTGCATTTAACAATAATCTAATGTGCTGAAGTAATAAAATCATGTATTACTTATGGAATGGTACCTAAATTCATGTAGGGGTTTTGTGCCAAATTATTAAAAACCAGATGCCTAGTTTGACTGAAGATTTCTTCTTGATTTTATGAGAACTTAAGTTTTCAAGCTGGAGCCTTCCTTGTGTATTTTAATAAGCTAAGCAAGGACCAAACATGACGTTTATGATTACTTCCATTTCTAATTTGTGAAATATTCTGTTAATAAGTAACAGGTGTAATTTGGTAACAACACAGGTAAGTCACCTTTTCCAGGGGATTTAAGGGCAATACTCTGTTCACTTAATTCAAAGAATCCCATCATTATTGTCCCACTGTTTACCAAGAAACTGTTAGTCCTTAGAGTAAGGACAACGACATTTTGTCTATCTGGCCACTAAGTATTTTAAGAACCACAGGAACAGAGTAATCAGTGTAACTGTGAATGTTAGCTTTATCTTGAAGTATGGCCACTTTTTGTCTAGTGTCTCTTTAGATTCCACTAACTTTCTACCATAGCCATTTTCTTCATACCTATTATGCAGAATATTTTCAGTAATGAAGACTGAAATTCTTTCCTTTCACTAGAACACTTACATCAGGATGTCCTGCCACTTGGATTGTTTCAGCAACAGCATTCTTAACTGAAACTGGATCTCTCACATCACACTGGACGGCATGAACCTGTATATAATAATGGAAATGCAGCTGTAAAACTATATCACTCATAAATTAAAAAAGCCCACAGAAGCACACAAATGCATAAAAATACTATAACCATTTAAAGTATAATAACTAACATATTCACAATTCTGTAAAAATTTACCTTATTCCCTACTTTAGAAGAAATTTCTTCTGCTGCTCCTTTCAAAACATCGAGTTTCCTAGAAATAAGTATACAACAGCACTAAATTTCAATAAAAAGCAATAACAATTCAGATTAATAAAATCTGATTATTTTTTCTGAGCAAATATGAGCTAAAGCTTAAACTGTGCGTGCGCACGTGTATGTTGCTGATTTTCATGAAAACTGAGCCTTAAGATAAAAAACTGTGTTTAGTCACTAACTTTCTCAAAGAAAACTTTAAATCTAAATAATTTCTGGTTAGTGCTGCTTCAAAGCAACTCAGAAGTGACAACAATAAGAGACTGTCTTAAACTAACCAAATGTGATAAGCGAGAAAAAATATTTTCATTCTGAGTACACAATCATAACAAAGTTAAGCTTTAGCTATTACTCTACTAGTATTTTAGAATGGATATGCGTATTTAGATTTAAAACAAAATATCTAAACCATTGTTTGGATGAGTGTCACAACACTTCTGCTTATTTTGATTAAAAATGAGACTTTTTCTAGTCTTTATACTGTAGTGCTACTTATGAGAAGTGCAGAAAGATCATCTTCATTAAGGGAAAATCGGGGCTGTTTTTAAAGTCATAAGAACTAAGAGGAATGGCTTTTAATTCTTTATTGCAATTCAAATCTATATCAAAAACATCAGCAATAACACATTCAAAATGCTCAATAATAGCCATTTCAGTTTTTTGTTTTCTTTTAGGCTTTAATTGAATTTATCTCTAATATTCTGGGTTGTTTATTTTGCTGCCGCATTTCATGGAAATATGTTTAGTTTATTTCTTCCTACTGCTGGTTACACCATTAGACATTTGCAATTGGGTCTGCAAGGTTCTGGTATTTACAGTATGACATTATAATCTAAAATTGTTTTGAAATAAGAGTAAATAGAATTAATCTATCCAGTTTATGAAGAAGAAAGCAAGATTCATCATGAAGAACAACACTAATCCACTCAGCATTCAGTACCAATGAAAACTCTTCATTAATATTTACCGGCTTGCTATAACACACTTGGCACCTAAACTGGACAAAGTTGTGGTCATCCCTTTGCCAATCCCAGTACCTCCACCAGTTATAAAGGCCACTTTCCCTTGAAAGGTATTTGGTGGCAACATCATTTTTTGAAGAGGTGGAAAGAATGCAGCTTGCGGTGCACTGCTGTATTGATGCAGCACATTTGGCCCACAGCTGAAAAACTGAAAGAAAAAAAAGAGGAAAGCTAGTTTTTTCTCATTTCTATATACAGTTCTGTTACACAAGATTAGATTTCTTATGATAGTGGAAGTAAAAACCATTAACTGCCTTATTATAAATTGGATGTCAGAACGATTAGATTGCATTACAGTAAAATACACACAAATGCTAATAACACTAGACTAGGAAAGCTTCCCGAGCTTTTTTCAGACGTTCCACTCCAACTAGAGAACTACTATTCATGGGTTTTGTAATACAAAAGGTTAGTATTCTTAACTTCTATCACTTTTACTAAAGTGTGTGGAAAACCATCACCAACTAATTACAGGCTCCCAGCAGGACTTGGATTTCAGCTACATATATGTACGGTACTTTATGCATACGGAGTTTAGCCCTAACAAATCCATGTGATTTTGAGATTACGCATGTACATATATACAAATTCAAAAGTTTCAGTAGTAACTTCAAGACTTTGATCCTTTACTATCGTAGTCAACAAAACATTCTTCTTTACTAGAGAATGGGGTAGAATCAAACTCCACGAGACCGGTCCCAATTGTTACTGGAGCTGCTAAGCAAACCAATGCCATCTCCCAGACAACACTGTGCAAGGTTTGGTTAGCAGCATTAACCTCTGTCCCAACAGAAATACCATTTATGGTAAATTAGCCCTCAATGAACTCATCCTTGCAAGAAGGCACAGGGCTGGTACGTGTTTAAAAACACACACAAAAAGAGTTCAGTATTACCTCTGTGATCCGCGTTAGTAAGAAAACATCCCATTAATGCAATGAGAAATCTGTGATGTCACCATGAAAGTCGCAGCAAAAATAGCCGAGTGGGTATTTCTAACATCCTAAACCACTAAACTAACTCAAGCACTAACCTCAATTAAATGCTTTGGGACAACAGCATTACAGTAATAATTCAGAAATTCCCAAATTATTTAGAGCACAAAAGGTACCTTAACCTGAAGCTGCAAACACTTCTAAGTATGATAAAGCTCGATTCTTTTTATTTTTGACGTGTAAAAAATTAGAAGAATGTAAGTTATATTTATTTTCTCTAATACTAATTTGTAATTTGTACTTAAGCCTTTAATGTGTTTATTTGAATGAAAAAGAAACAGTATAATTTCAGGAAAGAAAACTGAATGGTTACTCTTTTATGGTGGTGTCAATAAAAACATGCAGTTGTTCAGTAGGTTGACCTGAAGGTGGTTATTTTATAATAGTAAAAATATTACAACTTATTGTTCTATCTACTAACTCACATTTTCAATACCAAAATTAAGAGACATTTTTAGTGGTAGCTGAATAATCTGTACATGCCATAGATATAATGCACAGGGATGGGGTGTTTCACAGAGCTTAAAGCGGGCCTGAGAAAGTGAGCGTGTGAACCTTTCTGTGTGGTAATACATTTGCATATGAGTAACGCAGGTGAAAACAGAAAGAATAATCATGGAATCACGCTGCCAACTGAAGAGAGCTCGTGTTCCAAAGAAATGCTGAAACAAAAACTAAGAGCGAAGAGTTGTAGGCACTATATATAACAAAATTAAGAAAGTAAAGCTCAAACTAAAGCTACAGTTATCACAGAAGTAAAGCAGCGCAGCAAGTCCATTTATATTGAATGTATACTTTAGAGATTCTTTCTGGAACTTGGACTCTTCAGCTATGTGCAATGGCTTCTCACAAACAAAAAACCAAAGGTGATTCTAGAGAGCACAAGCAGACCAAACAGAAAATCCGAAGAATGTCACAGCACTTTCATGAAATAAATAAATTTTATATATCAGATCTGCCACCAAATGTCTGTAAAATACTGATTTTTTTTTTTTTTTAAATTCTCCCAACAAAAATAAAATCTGCCTATTTTCAGAGTACCAGAATACTACTAAGCCTCTGGGAAAGGGGAGTGTGAAGATTGTTTTTTGGGTCTTAGTAGTCTCCTACTCATCTCATCTCTCTGAAGGTATGCAGGGAGAGAAGTACTCCCTCTGGAGAATTTCAGCTCATGGTAGAGACTGCAAATCAAAATGGCATTTGGACTCCCTCCAGCGTAATGGGACACCCGGGGATAATCCCTATGCAGCACAGTCTCCCTGATCAGGTGTTCTGCTTTGCTATCGGGATGAGGGGGCGACACCAATACCTCCACAGCCTGTACTGCCAGGGGAGAGAAACGGGCACTGCCCTGCGGTGGGGCAGGAGGCCGTGCCCCGCGGAACGCAGCCCGCACCTCTGCCAGGGCTCCGGGCTGCGCCGGGAGCTGAGGAGAACCGGGGGGTGTCCCCACCCTCCAGAGGTGTCTTAGCCGTTTCCTCAAGCCGCAGGAGCCAGAGCCCCACTCAA